CGAGAAAATCTATTTATATATATGCATAACATGTACAATTTGTAGTATCGTGAAATACCAGCAAACAAAAAAAATGAATGGAAAATAAATCAAAAACCACCCCAAATATTTAGTACCGGTTGGGGTTACCAACCGGTACTAATGCCCTACGCGCACCCGGGTCTGGCTCGTGCCATGTGGTGGCACTTTAGCGCCGGTTCGTGACGAACCGGTACTAAAGCGGGGGGGCCTTTAGTCCCCACTCTTTATTGCCGGTTGGCAAACCGGCACTAAAGGCCGTTACGAACCGGTACTAAAGCACGGTTCTGCACTAGTGAGGCTTCGAGCGTCGGCTCCAACTTCGGCGGCCACTAGTGACTTCCTCCCTCTACTCCTCTCTCTCTCTCTTCCTCATTCAAATAATGTTCTCTTCTTTTGTAGCAGCAGTAGAGATGAGAGGTGCGGGAACGAGTTGGGTGGGGAGCCACCATCACCATGGACAACTTCATCCCCTCCAGGACTAGCAACAGCCATGGTTGGAGAGAACGATGACGCCCAGCAGCAGCAACCATGGATGGAATTTATTTATTTTTAATTCCCAATTAGTTAGCAGTAGCACGGGGCCCTGACCCGCGCTACAGCTAAGTAGTAGTAGCGCGGGCGTCAACCACGCTACTACTATCAGAAGTAGCAGTGGCGAGGGTTATGCACGCGCTACTGCTACAAGTTAGCTGTGACGCCGTATCAGTAGCGCGAGCGCCCGCGCTACTGTAGCCTCTCACCCAAATCAACGGTGTATACATGTACATGGCATGAAAAATTGTTTGATGTTTGTGTTTGTACATGTCCTAGATTCAAAAAAATGCAAGTATCTGGGAAGGATGAACTAATTCGAGCATTGCATTTGACTTGTTCAAACTTGTATGTGCCTGCCATTGTCATGGATTCATGCTTGAAGTTAGTGCGGCTAACTAATATTACCTCCGTACGTTTTGGTAAAACGTCTTATATTTTGTTAGGGGATGCAGCGTTTCGGCTCCCGAGCTCATCTATTCCCTTGCTTGAACAGTAAAATAATAAAAATACTAGGAAAACTAAAAAAGGGCATGAAAGATGTTCGAGGGCGTGATTCCGTGCCAAATTTGGCAGTATTATATTGTTCATGTCCTTATCCGATACTGTCATTCTTATAGTTAGGGCATTTCTCACTACTAGGGAAAAGCCTAGCATATATATAAGGTCTATCATGTAACACGAGACAAAAGAACCGACAGATGCAGCATCATGTGCGCTCTCAATATAATTTGATGCTCCCTCGAGCTCTTTTGTAATTAACAGGATTGGCGTAGAGTGTAGAGCATGGATGGCGGCAGGCCTATTTAGATCAGACATGGATAGTGCCATTGCGGCCATTGAGGTGGGCAATGATGCGAGTACTTAGCCTAGGCATGCGGGTGGAGTTGGGCTATGTAACACTTTGTAGCTCCAACGTGGAGGGGTCTTCTAATCCCCATCCTCTTCTTTAATACTAGTATATAGTACGCACACTCGTGCGTATTTGAAAAAAAAAATCTAGCCACGCAAATGCGCGGGTAACACTGTTAGTTTTTTTTTTGCGAGAAAATTTTCGATCTATTCATCTTCAATCATGGCAGTACAACGAATACCAGAAATAATAGAAATCACATCCAGATCCGTAGACCACCTAGCGACAACTACTAGCACTGAAGCGAGCCGAAGGCGCGCCGCCGTCATCGCCTCTCCATCACCGGAGTCGGGCACAACTTGTTGTAGTAGACAGTCGGGAAGTCGTCGTGCTAAGGCCCCGTAGGACCAGCGCACCAGAACAGCAACCGCCGCAGATGAAGAATAACGTAGTTGCATTTGATAACAAGAGCCACAGGCCACAGCTGATCTTCTTGCATGGCATCTTCGATCGTAGGCAGGAAAAAGAAAAGTCCAACTCTGATTTAATGGAACCCCCTGCCGTGTTCTAGTTGTTGCATATACTAGCGCAACCCAGTCCCGTCGAATGCTACTTGTACGCGCGACAAGGGGCACCGCATGGAAATTTCTGTAACCCTAACATTGCCATGTCTGAAGAATGTCAACTGGACACTGTCAGTTACCCAATAGATGGGGGCAAAAGAGTCTCCGTTCCAACTCCAGCAATGCTGATACGCTGTCAGTTACCCAATAGATGGGGACATGAGACTGAAGCTGCTATTGTTGTCACAAACTGCCTTCCTAGTCGTGCACTTTGTTATTAGGGCAACAAATAGAGTAATTTCAGCTAAGTTTAAAATAGGATCCCTTAAAAAAATCCGGGATGAAAGAATATACGGGATTTATTCGGGCCGGCAAAATTGCGGTTATTTTGCCGGATGGCCCGGTTTACGGGATAGAGATGCTTTAAGTGACTGAAAAAAACGTTTGGGTCAGTCGATCTATTTCGAACCATTGGATGCAAGATAAACTATATTCTGGTCGAAAGATCACTGAACGACCGTGACAAGAAGACCAACTATATTTCTTGTTGGAGAAACAAATATACTTTTGGGCAACTTTATGCTATTTTTCTTCAAAAGAAAAGAGGAACTTTGCATTATGAATGAATATTCCATCAACATCACTGAAAGCTAACATGAATACAGCTCAGCTCCCCAACTTCATTCACTGAATGCAGTCTTAAATTTACAGCAATATAATTCCAGATTGAGTTCGCAACAGCATATGCCTCAGTAATGATTACAGCTTAAGATAGATTAGAAACTGAAAATCTATAAAGATGGATCCACAGCTGTTGAGCAGAAATACTCATCACAGCTGATATTTGCCTTCCAGAACCCGACCCACAGCTGACCGCCTTACATGTCTTCAATCCAAGGAATAGCCCAGATTTTCATTGAGATTATGATCCAAGTGATCAGCATGTGCTTGACATGCTACAGCCCAGGATCTGACAACAATAGCAAAAGACTCGGTCAGTCGGCCAGGGGAGTGAATGAATCTCTGTATATTTGTCAACGGTAGAAATAGGACGGGCGAATCAGCCTATTAATTTAGAATACGTATGAAAGGCAGACATTGATCGGTTTTTCTATGACAGACTTTAAACGAAAGAGCATGCGTGCAGGAGGAACTAGAAGTTCTATCAACAGAGAACACATATGACTCAAACATGAGTCAACGGGGACTTGAACACAAGCGGTGTCAAGCACACATATCCTAAATACAACATAACATATATTTGCTTGCTTCTTTCTATGACCAATCGTACTAGTTACCGGCTAGTAGTTGCATATTTCTATTTCTAGTATAGGCGAGGAAGATACACACAAACATGGAGAAAGGAATCACGTTAACTAGCTTTAGTAGACAAACTCGTAACTAGCTACCAATTGCGAATTTAACTTCAATATTTAATATACGCACGAAAGATGAAACACTGAACACTAACCTTGTGAATAGCGATGATCACCTAATCCTTTTCCAAAGTCCTTTTTGGCTCAATTCCACTGTAACATTCCTTATGCGGCTAATCTTCATTACATCTTCATTGCATTCATCTGAATCTCTCTTTTGCCGGAGTTTCTCTACTAGCTCTTCTGATGTGTCTTTCAGAAGTAATTTCTCAAGGGCTGCAAGGTGTTGGATGCCATCTGGAAGAAACTTTAGCTCAGGACACTCTGTGAACCATAGCTCGACAAGGTTTTGCATTGCGCCCTCCTCTATTCCCACTTGGTTGAGTTGTGCAGCACCCCATATGTGTAAGAACCGAAGTTTTGGAAATGACGCTGCATAAAAATCCAACCTCTTCCCTTCAAAAGCCTGCACTAGCTCAAGGGTGCTTAGAGCACGTAACACACACAGACATGAAAAGGTTCCCTCATCAGTATTGGAGAATGCCAGGTACAACCGGGTGACGCTATTAAGAAGTGACCAGGAAGAGAAATGTTGAGGCGTCGATGTTTTGTTTAGCTGCCCTGTTAAACCAAGCAGAGAAAGGGTTGAAGGTAAATATAGCCCTTCCAGCCGCAGCACCTCATCCTCAGTTGCAGCCCCAACATCGAGATGAATAAGATGGCTCATTCTGGTGATAGCATTGCCCAAGTAAGAAGAGTGTTCGCTTCTCACGTTGCAGACACCGAATGTTCTTAGCTCTGTCAGAGCTCCAACTTCACGCAGAAACTCTGGACTGGCTTCGATGGACTGAAGAGCCCGCAGTCCTGCCAAGTGATGTATACCACTAGGCACCTTGACCCCACGTATTCTTCCAATTTTTGATCTGCTGGTAGTAAATGCACGCAGGCATCTCAATTTTTTAAGTTTTACAACACTGTTTGGCAAACACGTCAGCTTAGAATGCACAGCATCCAAGACTTCCTTCCATAACTTCCCCACTGCTTCAGGCAGGCTTTCGAGATTGGTATCTCTAAGACCCAAATACCGCAGACTAAACAAGCTAAATACTTCATTGGGCAGCATTTTGATACATGAACCTTGCAGATCCAACATCGACAGGAAATTCGAAAATCTTAAGATAGGCTTCAGCAAATCAATATTGATATACCTTCCAAAAACATGGAGTGCACGGAGTTGTTTTGCACCAGATCGGCTCAGTTGTTCAAGGTTTTCCCCCTGGACTGATATGCGACGTGCACCCTCTACAGAGAATGCCCCACTACCATAGCCATCATAAAATTTACCAAAGCACTCCTCCTTGGCTTTATTCAGGGCAAGAAGTCCTATGACATCATGCATCTGGCAGTGTATCAGTCGCCCGGCATGATTCCTCTTCACAACCTGTAATAGGCTTCGGTTCACAAGCTCAGCCAAGTATCCCTCTGCCACTTCCTCCAACGTTTTGTTCTCCTTTTCCCTAATAAACCCAGCCGCAATCCACTGCCTCATTATCCTTCTCCTCTTTAATACATAATCTTGTTGAAATAGTGCACAGTGTAAGAAACAAATTTTCAAATCATACGGAAGGTCCTCCAAACTGACCTTTAGGATCATATGAGCATCAGGGATCACATCTTTCGTCAACTGCGAATCCAAACCCCTGTACACATTCTCCCACTCAGCGGAAGTTGGGGGTTTGCAGGATAGTAGGCGGCCAATGCATGCAATAGCAATAGGCAAGCCTTGACACTTTGCTATGAACTTCCAAGTCAGTTCCTGCAACTCCAATGGGCACTCTTTACCATCATCATTCCAAAATGCTCCTTTGCAGAATAACTCCCAGGAATGATGAGCGTGTAGCGGTTCCAAGTGAATTGCAGACTCCCTAGTTGCCAACAGTGACACTTCATGCTTTCTTGATATGATAACATATCGGCCGGTACAGTTAGACGTTGGGAAGACATTCCTTATCTCGGACCACACGCGCGCAGCCCATACATCATCCAGGACCATGATGAACTTTTTACCTTGAAGGTAGTTGTGGATGGACTCTGCTATGTCTCTCATCTCAATGTCGGCGACGTCGACTGTGATGCCGAACTGGGCGGCAATCTTCTTCAGCAGATCCTCAATACGGTAACTCTCCGACACAGTTACCCACGCTGCCGCGTCGAAATTCACTTTCACGGTGTTGTACACATGAGCAACCAGAGTGGTTTTACCAACACCAGGCATCCCCCATACCGAGGTAACCTTGCTGCTGCTCTGCTCTAGACCATGACCACTACCACCGCTGACGGTCAGCCACCGTATCAACCTGTCCCTGTTCTCCTCTATCCCCACAAGGTCCTCATCCCTGGTGAAGTGAAGAGCTTGACCTTGATTCGTCGATCTAGCAGAAGAAGCAAATCTGCCAGTGACGGCGTAATCCTTCTTTCTCCGGTTGGCATCCTGTAGCTGGGCTTTGATTTCTTGGAGCTTGGCCGCTAGGCGGCGCCAGGTCTTGATATGCTTGAGCCTCTTCTTCATCTTGCCTGCAAACCCTCCATGCCTGCAGTCCTCCAGCTTGTAGGTGAACTCGTCAACGACATCCTCGATCTGGAAAGCTAGGCCCCTGACCTGGCCGACAAAGATGGCGGTGGTCTTGTCTGTGTCCTTAAATTGCTCTGCCTCCTGCAGGTAGGCCTGCATGCTCTCCAGCTCCACCTTGGAGTCACGGATCTTGCCGAAGAGGCCCCTGAGGGCGGCGGCTTCCTTGCCGAGCAGGGCCCCGCCAAAGATCGCCGCCTCTTTTGCCAGTGCACCCCCCAGCGTGACCACTAGCTGCCCGACAACAGCCTCTGCCATGGTTGTTGAGGATTTTCCTTTTTCTCAGATAATGGTTGTTAAGAGCAACTCCAACCAAGTGACCAAATCTCATTACCGAGTTCTCAATTCAGTACCAACATCAACAGACCACTGCCCTTATTTCTTTGATGACTCGAGCCCATTCAGCAAATCTGACTCACCTATATTGCCCTGATTTCGCGTAACTACCACTTGTCGTTGGACCATGATGAAGTCCGCATAGGTCGATGGCTTATTTGGCCTTGACGAACGATTGACCTGTAAAACCAGTAGAAAGAATAGCATCAGGGACAATAGCATGAGCATCGAAACAAATAGAGCATCATCATTGATTTCTCCTCGTTATCTCTCGCTCAGCAGTTGCATCAAGCGGCGGCAGCAGCCAAATCTGAAACCACACTCTGCTCCCACACCTCACACGACACAAGCGCAGCATCTAACACAAGCGGTAGCAGCAGCAACCAAGTCACCAAATCTCACTCACCGAATTCTCATTCGAGCACCAACACCCACAGATCGCCCCCCTTGTTTCTTTGTGCAGTCCAACCCATTTAGCAGCTGCCACAGAGCTGCATTTCTATCAAATTGATTCCATACAAGCATCAGACCTCTCTCTGTCTCTCCCCAAACGCAAAGTAGCTAGGTCGATGGCTCATTTGGCTGTGATGTGATGGAGAATCTGTAAAAACCAGTACAAATAAGAGCATCAGGGACAAGAGCTATCGGCATTGAAACAAGTAGAGCAGGAGCGGCCAAATCTGAAACCACATACTCTGCTCTCTCACACGTCACAGAGCACAAGCGCAGCATGTAACACGGGCGGGCCGCCGTGCTTGCAGCCTCGCCCTCTCCCAGACCGGGGCAAGCAGAGCAAGGCGGCGGCGGCGGCGGCGGCGCGCGCGAGGATGTTAACAGCTGCGGTGGGGGCGCTCTCACTCTCACTCCCCGTCCGCATCCACGCCAGGGTGGGTGGTGGCGCAGATCCAGGACGGCGGCGGGGTCCGGGCGCTCACCGGACCGACCCTTGACGGAGAGCAGCGCGGCGGCGTGAGCGAGGATATTCCAGACTAGGGTCTTCCCCGTTCTGTTCTGCAGGCTGCAGCGTCGAGGGTATTTTTCTGTTTTGCCCCTGAATTGTAAAGATCAAAATTACCGATCAGAGGGGGGCTGAATGAAAGACCAAAATCCTCGTCCCGTGCTGTGCTCCAGGCGCCTCGTAGAGCGGACGCAACCGGACGACTGCCCACTTGCATTCATGTCGGTAGGAGCACCAATTCCCAACTCTCCAAGAGCACCTGCCACCTCTTCAGGAGCTATTATCCATCACACAACGACATCGGAACATGGGACAAACGGGGGCTCGTGCGCACTTGCGAGAACAATCAGGAGTACTCATGGATCGACGAGATGATCTCAAGCCCAGCCGGTGTGAGGTGCGAGGACAAATGAGAAGTTGGTTCTCTTGAACATAATGTATATGATGGGACTGAGGAGGGATGGGCACCGGTCATGTCAGAGGATGGTAGCCATTGATGCCTGCCGGGTGTGCCACACACGTAGAACCAGGTGATGTATGGGCACCTCACGTCCATGGGATATTACATCGAAAGAGATGGTTGTGTGTGCATGTATGCTGTTTAGAGGACAGAATTAGCTCAGTCCTAGTCGTCTATTCTTATCGGTCATATGTTATTAAAGTTTATTGTCTCTTCTGAATACTTAGGTTGTACTCCCTCCGTAAACTAATATAAGAGCATTTAGATTACTATTTTAGTTATCTAAACGCTCTTATATTAGTTTACTGAGGGAGTAGTATCCTATATCCTATCTATTTTTTAAAAGTTCATCCCTGTTAACATGCAAAGCATTCATCTTAACGTCCCCACTAAGTCATGCCTTTAAGTCTTCTCTCCCACTAAGCGATGCATTTATGTCTGTCACATAAGCAAGCCATGCATTTAACTTATAAATTATAATTATGTTTGCATTAGTCTATGCATGTAAAGCTGTCACATCATACATGCATGTTAGTCATCCTTCACATTATTTGTAATTCATAAGTTTTATTTATTTATATAGTTTTTTGTTGATTTTCAAGCATATATTTCTTTTCATTAGATTTAGTTATTTTGGAGCATCTATTTTATGCATTTTTTTAACAAAATTACTGCAGCAACGTGGGGCACTAACTATTTTTTATGTTCATACTAGAAAGATGCCCGTGCGTTGCACGGAACACCAAGATGCATTTGTATGAGTAGTTTATCTTGTGAGAGAAAAAGATGAACGAGGGAAGACCTTATTTGCAAATGTGAAGAGGGGTGTGTGTATCTTTTTGCAAAATTGTTATAGTTTTCTTCCAATCCGTCAGATAGAAATCGGGCGGCCTATATTGTAGGATGGTAGGCAAACCATCATCACCAACTCTATTTTTTATAAGAGTAGAGATATAGACCTTATTTTCTTTCTGTTCCATTTTATTTTCTTATATATTTTTTGTTTAAAGAAATATAAAAACTTATTGACAAATACATGAATCTTTTTTCTAAATACATGGACAGGTTTTGAAAGACGTTAATAGTTCTTAAAATTGCAAGAACATCCTTTCTAAATATGTCAACATTTTTTTAATGGCTGATTTTTTAAAAGGTGCGAGCACTTTTAAAATTGGACCAAAATTTTAATATACATGAACATTTTTAATGCATTATTAAAAGAATTGAAACTTATTTAAAAGAAAATATTTTTATATGTGTGTAATATTTTATTTACCAAATGAGTATTTTCTCTTCTTCTTATTGTAGGTTTGAGATTACAATATACATTTTAAAGGAAATCTCCAAAAAAGGGAGAAAAGGAAGTATATATGTGAATGGACGGTGGCATATCAGCGAGGCGATTGGTGTGACGAGGACATGGTGGCCAACGTCGGCTGCGGGTGGAGGGAGACGGCGGTTCGACCGGTGTTTGCCGACGGGTCCTCGAGGTGGATGACGGCTGCGCTGACGAGGGAGGGCAGACGGCAGGAGGAGGTGTTTATTTCCTCGACTATTTGACACCATGAGGGTAAGAAAAACTCTGTAAGGAGAAATGAGTAAAATTGAAGCTCGGCCGGGAAAGCTTTGGTCCTGGGCTGGGAAACGTGATGGCTCCGGCTAGCGGGCCTTGTTTCTTCGAGTGAGCTAGCAGGTCCACCCCAACGGCAGGAAGCAGCAGCCGTTGGTCTCACAATACAATATCAGGATGTACTAGCACCACACCACTGCTTGCTTAGGTTTCCGGATCCGCTCATGTTGATACGTCTGCTTCTTTTTTGCCCATCTCAGTAAAGGACGTTGATTTCATAAGCTATATATATACACAGAAGAAAAGTTTTCAGTGAAACTTGAATTCGCCACCAACGTTTAAATCTGTACTAGTGAGCTGATTTTCTGCCACACACACACACATCATATACGTTGATTTTATAGGCGTCTCATAAAATTGCTAACTGTCGTCCGACTCTGATTTTCTGCCACAAACACACACATCACATAATTACGATCTTCATAGATGAGACACCACACCACAGCTTGACCCATAAATGATGGCTTCTGAAGCTGGCTGTGTCTCTATTTGTACCGATCACAAAAATTGGCAAAACATTCATTTTCTTCCCCTTTATCAAAGTTCGATGAAAACTCAACACGGAGAAAGGGTAATCACAAGCTAACATATGCACAGAAATATCATCATTTGAAAGAGCAGTGTCGGCAGTAGCACCTTCTCCCCAGTAACCCTTAACTGTGAGCCTTTGCCTCTTCAGGCCTCATTCCTTCCTTTGACACTTCTCGTATGCACATTCGTCATACGCTGATGCACAAGCACAAACAACAGAAAGTTTCAGAGTTTGCAGTCATATTGTTGTTGGGTTGTTCCATACGAAATACAATAAGAGCAAAGCATCATGGGACTTCACAAAATGAAAATGGCACACAAAGCCCATAGCACACTGTACCAAAAAAGTATCGCCCTGGTGGTGGAACCATAGAGAGAAAAGCGGCAGATTGCAGAAGCAATTGAAAAGGTCCAAGAGTTTCCTCAAATATCATGAAAGAATTTACCCAGACAATCGGTCTATCTATGACATCAAGCAAATCCAAGCAGCGAAAATTATATATGATGAAACAAACTAACTCACTCTCATTTTAAGTCCTGATGGCAAGGAAGGCCAGTGTTTTAGGAATTATTACAGAAACAACCAACAATGCATGACAATATACAATCACAAAGAAATTAATAGTTGTTGATACTATTACAGTACCGTAGGACCCCTGATAAATAATTAAATGCATGCACACTTATAATTCATAAGTAAACCTTACGTTTCTTAATAACCGAGGGAGGCAGACTGCTGTTTTTTTGCTAGGAACGGAGCTCTGGAACATGCTTCATCTTGTTGTGCATCTGGTTCAGATTCCACTGGGCCTTGAAGTCCTTGTGCAGTCCCAGCATCCAGAGCTTCTTGAGGGTTCCAAGGGATTCAATGCCATGAGGGACCGTATTCAGCTCCGAGAGCGACACGATGTAGATCCCATCAATGTGTGGAATGGCACCCTCTTCAATCTCCAGTTGCTTGACATTAGGCATGCACTTCAAGACGAGTGTCTTCAGCTTAGAAAAGGACCCGGCAGAAAGGACCAATATTGCTGCACTACTCACCCTGTTAAGACTGAGATAAGTTAGTGCTGGCAGATGAGATGCCAACAACTGCAGCGGATCTTCTTTCCCAAGATTGCACCAACTTAGAGCCAAGTACTTGAGATTCCTCCCATGGCCCTGAAATATTGGGCACTTGAGTGTCCCATCAGCCCAACCACCTCTGACGATTAGTCTGTGGAGCTTCTTGGAAATTGGCACTAGTGACTGGAAAGAAAGTTTCTCGGTCTCATCATATGCAGAGAGAAGTAAGCTGGAAAGCAGGGGCATATCTGAGAGGGTTTTGAAAAGGTCATCACAGTTAGATGCATTAATATTATCAACCCAAACAGTTTGCAACTTCCTCATTTTCTTCAACTCCATGGACATGTCTTTGCTGGCATGGACGGTCTCGAGAGTTTGCAGTTCTTGAAAGTTGGAAATCATATGAGGCGCTTCGATCCCGACAAAGTATCGGAACTCGGTCTGCTTCTCATCAGCAAACCTGTCTGCAAAAAGGTGTCGCAGCTTCTCAACTTTTACAATTCCTGGTGGGAGCTTTTCTACTCTTGTTTGCTTGATGTCCAATGTCTCGAGGTTCAAGAGTTTTTCTATGGTGTCTGGCAGTGACTGGATATTGGTACGCCTTAATCCAATGTAGCGAAGGTTGAACAGATTCCCGATGGATGCTGGCACTTCAGTTATTGCAGAGTCTTGAAGCTCGAGAACAGTAAGGTAGCTAGATCCAGAGAAAACAGAGGAAAGCATGTTGGTAGAGGACGAAGCTGTTGCAAGAGACATGATGGTACGTAGCCGAGGAAATTCCACTCTTGGATCTGCAGTCCAACCACTTGATGTCGATAATCGACGAACTTCCTTTTCCATGCTAATCATTTCACCCGAATCATTTGCAGAGCCAAACCTCTCCTTTTTCGCCACAGCAAGAGCCAGGTCACGGACAATGTCATGCATCTTACATTTACTAACCCTGAAGAGCTCATCCCACTCCACAACTTCCAACATATTCCGGCCGATGAGTTCCATCAGATTTCCCTCAGCCACTTCTTCTGGCGTGTTGTTTCCTTTCCTCATCACGAATCCTTCAGCAACCCACAACCGCACAAGGCTCTCCCGTGACATTGCATAATCTTCAGGGAACAAGCTGCAGTACAGGAAGCAGTTCCTAAGATCACCTGGCAAGTCATGGTAGCTCAGATTAAGTATAGCTTGGACATTGTTATCCCCTTTAAACTCGTCCCGAAGTTGTTCGAACATCTGATTCCATACATACTCTGTTGGTTGCTTCGTAGACAATAGGCTGCCAGAAGATATAATGGCCAATGGCAGCCCATGACACTTCTTAACAACATCAACAGCCACTGCCTTGAGCTCCGGTGGGCACTCGTGGTTTGGGCTGTTGTGGAAAGCCCTTGAGCAAAATAGCTTGAATGACTCGGCACTACCCAATGGTTGGAGTACTAGGCGACGCCTAGGTGAAGCAAGAGCGGCAACATCTTCCTTCCGTGTTATGATCACAACACGACTTCCTTGGAGACCCTGGAAAGCATTGCACATCTGAGTATATGCATCTTTGTCCCACACATCATCAAGCACGATTAAACACTTCCTATCTTGCAGTGTCTTCCTTATTGCCTCTGTTAAGTCATAAACATTAGCTTTGGCATCCATGCTAAGAGGAGATTGTGTCCCTTGTGTGAGTTGTAGCTTGGTGAGCAATGACCCCAGCAAATCAACTACATCATATGCCTGTGACACCACAATCCAAGCATGTGCATCAGGGAAGTTGACTTTCTCCCTATCATACACATTCTTTACAAGGGTTGTTTTCCCCAAGCCTCCCATACCAGAAACTGTTATCACCGAGCTTCCTTTATCATCAGTGCTCAACCATTCAGTCAACTTGCTCCTATTTTCATCAATCCCCACAAGATCCTCATCACTAAAGAGTCCTGGAAAGCAGCTACCAGACCGCGTCTTATCAATCTTTGCATGATCATTATTTGTGGGTTGCACTGTGTCCCTCCAATATTTAGGCAACTCTTTGATCTGCATGATATCCTTCTCTATATTCTCAATTTCCTCAGCAATTTGACTAAAGACCTTTATATGGCGAGAACCTCTGAAGATGTACCGTTGCAGGAAGCCTTCATCCTTTAGCTTAAGAGCCTCATATGAGTACTTATCAATTACATCCTCAACACGGTAAGCCAGATCTCTTACATTTCCAATCCAACCCTTGATGACATTGTTACTGAGATGTGTTGTGCCCAAATCAAGAATTATATTATTCATGGTCGTCAGTTCTACATTGATTCTTGTAACTTTTGTTGGCAATTCCTTTAGAGCTTCAACCTTCGATAGCTTCTGTACCACATCCGTGACTGCTTGATTCAAAATGACTGCCCCAATCTTTGACACGGCAAGGAGTATAGCCTCCGCCATCTGGTCCTGAAAATACACCAACACACAACAAGTTATACAATGCATAATACAAGAAGCAGGGATCGAGTACAATAATACTACATGATGTATGGATTGTAATAGCACGATCACTTATTTGGGGATACCGATACTTATCGAAGACTCACAAATGCTGAATGGAAACACATCGAGAAGAGACTACAAAAAAGACTTAGTAGTTGGAAAGGTAAATTGCTATCTCTGGGTGGAAGCTTGGTCTTCATAAATTCAGTACTAAGTAATATGGTACTACATATGATTTCCTTCTTCCAATTGCCGAAAGGAGTATTACATAGATTGGATTACTTCCAATTGAGATTCTTTTGGCAAGGAGATAGCGAGAGAAAAAAATATCGGCTGGTTAAATGGAGTGTGGTTTGTCGTCCCAAGGACCAAGGCGGGTTGGGCATTCATGACCTTGAGGTTAAGAACAGGGCCCTCCTCGGCAAATGGTTGTTTAAGTTATTGATGGAAGATGGTGTATGGCAAACCCTCCTAAGGAGAAAATATGTGTGGGTTCTAAGACGGTATCCCAAGTATACTGGAAGCCTGGGGACTCTCATTTTTGGGCTGGACTAATGGCAACGAAGAAATATTTCTTCCGCTATGGTTCCTTCTCAATTAAGGATGGCTCGGAAATTAGATTCTGGGAGGATAAGTGGCTAGGTAATGCTACTCTCCGGGAACAATATCCAGCTCTATACAATATTGTGCGTCACAAGGGCGATACTATTGCCAATGTTTTGGACTCATTTCCGCCAAATGTGACGTTCAGAAAGGATTTAATTGGACCTAGACTCCAATCGTGGAACATACTACTCCAACGGTTAACCACGGTACAGTTGTCACAAGGGTCCGATATCTTTCGTTGGAACCTACAGGGAATGGGCAGTTCTCAGTGGAGTCTATGTATAGAGCTCTGATCCAGTCAGATGTGCCAGTTAATAATAATAAGAAGATCTGGAAGATGAAGATACCTCTTAAGAATAAAATATTTGCGTGGTATCTTTGTCGCGGAGTCATTCTTACTAAATATAACCTTATTAAGAGGAATTGGCATGGAAGTACACAATGTGTATTTTGTCCGCATGATGAGACAATAAAACATTTGTTCTTCCATTGTAAATTGGCTCGTTCTATATGGTCAGTCATCCAGATAGCTTCTGGCTTAAATCCTCCGTGTAGTGTTGCTAATATATTTGGCAACTGGTTAAATGGGATTGATCACAAGTTTAGAATTCTTCTTAGTGTGGGAGCGCTTGCCGTGATTTGGTCGCTTTGACTATGTAGAAATGATAAGGTTTTTAATGATAAAAGTACTTCCCGTATGAAGGTTATCTACGGATGTACCGGGACGCTTCATTTATGATCCTCTCTACAGCGAGTGAAGAATCGAGACCTCTTTACGGAGGTGTGTACACGATTGGAGGCTGCGGCGAGGGATACTTTTACCCAACATGGGTGACAGCATGATCTTAGGATTGGGCCTCCTACTGTTTTAGGTGTCATACAAATATTCATCTTTGTATTTCGCCTTCTTCTTTTATTTTGGCTTGCCGTGAGGACTTTGTTGGCTGTGTGCATCTTAATTATGCAGAGGCCGGGTGTAATGCTTAAACCTTTTAAGTAATAAAGCGCCCCTTTTCGAAAAATAGCAGATTAGAACGGATAGAAGATGGAGGTGCACGGTAATAGTACATATGTACAACCATTAATTTTGCCAAGAAAAAAATAGTAAGTAGATAAAATATGTGTGTGCTGGAATATTGGTAAAACAAATTAGTAAAACAGGCTGAGTACATTTTGCAGGCATTAGCTATAAAACCGAACCGTCTCACCCCCGCGTCCCGTACCCGTGGGTGAACACGGGTGGAGCCTCCGGCGTAGCCGGCCTCCCCTCCCTCCCCTTCATCGCCGATGGGCTAGGCTGATGCAGCTGATGGGGATGGCAGGGGTTTCTCCTCCCTCTTCATGTTCGTGCGTGCCGCGGGGCGCCTAGGCACGCGGGGGCTCGACCAAATCTGGATACAAAGGCGCGGCGGAACGGGGCATGATGCCTATGGATGGACTCGGCGGCACATTAGGGTTGTCGTGGAGGTGTGGGTGGTGCGACTCGCACAGAGTCTTGGCCGGGTGATTTGGCGATGGTGGCGGCCCTCGGCCAGGTCATCCTGCGCGTGGTGGTAGTGGATGACGTCTGGGCATTGGCTAGCTCGGGGATCCAACTTGGTTAGAGGTGGCCCGTGTCTGAGCGACGCCACGTCCCCATTTGGCTTCCGGATGGGAGGCGCAATGCCGATCTGGCGGGTGTGTTCTCCTGCATTGGTGATGTTGATCTGCCTTTCATTCTCCAGTTTTGACCATGTTGACCGCTGGGTCGATGGGCACATGCCAGACTCTATCCGACGAGTGGCCACCGAAAGCTCTTTGTGAGGGTTCCTTTCTCCAGACCGGTGGTTGACTTCAACGATGCGATGTAAACTATGGATGACGACTTGACATAGAGGAGTGGTTGTGAAGTGGCTGCAATCACACATTGTCTGTAGCTACTGGGATCGCGGGAAAGTGGTGGCGGTAACACATGGGTGAATTCTATGATGTTGCTACGAGCACCCGGTCTCGAGTTCCAGGTTGCCTAGGTATGACCCAGTGAGTTATACCTGACAATGGCAATATTTTTGTGTTCTTACCTTGTTGAAGCATTACTCATATATGTTTGGACTAATTCTTTAGGGTGGAAACCTAGATTCAGGCCTTGAGTGGTTGGATGCGGCGAGGATGGCACTTGAGCGTTGCTCCTTTCATGAAGCTTGCCGTTGAAGAACCTCGTCGATCAAGTGGTGTTATGAGATGACTGGTGCGAATATGGTCATTGTTGTAGTTTGCCAATCGCAGATCTGTCCGCCTTGAATTTATTGTTTTATTCCTCACCTATAAATAGCTTTGATTTTATATGAATTTGCTATTAGGTAGCCTATTTTTATGGGTGTGCATTCCTTCTAGTTGTGTGTGTCCAAATAAAAGTCACCCTTTATCATAAAAGCTATTCAGTTTTCTGGCGAGCCCACCCACCCGCTTGGCTTCAGATTTTATTTTTCCTCCTTTATGGTGGCGGCGACCATTTAGGCATGCGTTGTCTCATGTAATATATATATTTAAGAAAATTGTCAACATATAGTGTCTCATTCAATAGTTTGTATCCAAACTAAGCGGGCTCCGATTGAAGCAACATCAAAACCACATGCATGAACATCGCGAACTATCATCAACAAGTAGCTACACCATCATTGTCTCGGTCATTCATGCACGAGATGAATATGCAAATTCTCCACCGTAAGTGCGGTCATAGCCCATGGGAGGTGAGGAGAATGAGCGATGGAGGAGTGACATGACCTTGTAGAGTGCCACTGGCGAAAGCCTCTCCATAAGATATGGGATCATTTCCTAGATGGGAGCGTAAATCAAGGGTGCACATAATTGTGAGTTGATGACAACAAGATTCACCAAGCTGCGGCAGCAGGGAGGCTTTGAAGGAGCTATACAAGAGTTGCATGAGATTGGCAGGAAGAGAAGCAACCATGGATCTAGCACCTTGACAAGGGGTTGGATGGACTAAGACTACATGACAACGTCTCCTAAAAGGGAAATGGAACCGCCGTTGCTGCCTCCAGCATATAGCAACCCCTGACAAGGCACATAACACTCAACATCCATAGAGCCAACAGAGAGCGTAGAACAACACCACAAGGCTGGGATGCTGCGTTGCAGGCGGCGCCGTTGTCGGCCGACTGTCATCGGCACATATTTCTTGAGCATTCACGCACCACCAGACGCCCAACAACAAGCAAATTAGGGGCAATAGACAAGGGTATCACTACAGCAAAGGACACAACCCATACTAAGACGGTGCTCGTCGGTGTACGAGCGAAGGGGGGGGGGGGAGGTTAAAAGTCTCTGTGTATGCCTCACTCAGCTCTAACATGCGTTGGAATGGGAATGTTTTCCAAACCAGCCCTACATCCAGTGCTAAGGTTGGGAATGCCTCCCCCGGTAACAATTGACAGCTAAACCCGCATGAAAAGGTATCTAACTGACATATGACATCAACCATTGGTTGGGTTGGCAAACGTCCCTTCCAGCCACTCACATGATGGAAGGTTCTACATATTGCCAGAATAGCCTTTCTGCATGTTGGAGGAGATTTGTGCATGCAGGGGCGAGGGTATGCACCCTATTTCTCTTTCGACTTTCGATTTTGAATCTTTTATCTCTTTTGAATCAAAAGTCCAAATTAAGTTCCATTTGCATATTCTTGTCTCTTGTGATGTCAGCATTCAAATAAGACACATTTTGAATTCTCTTTGGTGAATTCTAAAAATTCAGTAAGTTCCGATTGTTGAAACTTGGTACAAGAGAATGACAACATCGTGAAACTTGGTACGAGCGAACGACAGAATCGCAAGTTTCAGAAACAAAAACTTAAAATTTGGCGTGGCCTCATGTGGAATTCAACAACTTAGTGGATCATGAGATAATCAGGCAGCCGGGCACAGCTGGGCAGGTGCATGCCCCAGCACCTGCATGTCCTTGCGAGTTTCTGTTTTGGTACAAGTGAGTGTGTATTTGAAAATTTGGGTTTGGAAGTGGAAGACAGTTCTGGCGATAGCACTATGCAGAAAGGTAGGTTTAGATATAAAAGCTCCCATGCGCCATTCCCTGTTTTGTTTGGTATGTAGCCCCGTGAGCAGAACCTGACCCCTATACTACCCACAGTTGGAACGCACAAGTTCCACCGATAGTTGTAGCGCGACCACACGAATAAGGGCTATAAAAAAGGAAGATTCTAACGTAATTGGGATATCTCGAAATAGTTTATTTACAAATCTATTTGTGATATGTAGGAATAGAACATGGTATATCTAATGAACTGAGGGTAGCTCGGATGGTTGGGTTTCTTTTGATGGAACCAACCCATCCAAGTT